ATTGCCCCTAGACAGCAAAAGCCACCATTTCAAAGCAACTCTAATCATATGACTCCATCAGGCCTTAAGCCTCACACACACAGCTGACCTTGCTTATCAATTGCTTATGACGCTCAACAGCTGAAAGAAAATCAAACTGTGTTTGTGCTAGACACACAGAGCCTACAACAGAGGAGAACAACAACCACAACCACAGGTTTTGGACGGTTCGGGTCAGGCTGGGCGATACGACAGTATTTATTACTATGGTGATAAATTACACAGGCTTTTTTGAGCACATTGTGCTGAATGTGTTGATCACTGTATTCATAGTTTTTGACTGCCTTTATTTTAAAAATGGCTCTATGTTGTTCCAACTGTCAGAAAAAATAAATATCGCAATATATCGTGCATTGTGAAAACTCTTTAAACTATCGTGATGTTATGTTTTTGCCATATCGTCCACCTCTAAAACAAAGCATTCACAAACGCCCTGCTCTGAAGACACATGCAACGGCTTTCCTGAGAGAAGAACCTGCAGTGCACATCCTCAAATGATTCAGACGGCAGCAAAATAGCATTTCCTCTTGAGTGCCTGTGCACAGAGGGGTGAGCAACCCATGGCTGACTGAATGGATGTGACAAGTAACTCAGCAGGATAGAGTGTCCTTTATATGAGGGTTACAGAAAAGAAGCCATCCTCTAGTTTATTCCAGTCTAATACAAAACCAACTGAGAAAGAATCACAATAACACCACAGCAGGCCTCTGAGAGACATTAGCAGTCTTGCTGTAACACTCACAGAGGCTGCTTTCTAGCAAAGTCATCCTGTCCTATGTTAAGGGCGTTGTACTAAACAGAGGCAGGCGGGCTGGAAGGTTAGGCTGTCAAAGTCCTCGTCCACTCAGAGCACACAGACTTAGACCCCTGCACACTGAAGCACGGGGGCCTGACAGAAGGAGAAAACACCACCCTCAGCGCCTCTGTGACCGGGTTAACATTTACACGAGCACCGAATGACTGACCACGCTCGCTTTCCCAGCCGCTGAAGCACAGCCTCGGTCAGTCCGGGGTCCACCGGTCCTAAACGGCGACCCCGCCGACTATTAACCCCCCGAGCGACTGCATTTACCTTTGTATTTTTCCAGCACGTCCTCGTAAGCCTGGAGATAGTCCTTCTCGTCAGCGAGCATGTACGCCGCCGGGGTGTAGTAAGCCATGGCCGGAGGGACTGCGGTGACTCGGCTCTTTAGCAGGCGGCTAATGGAGCACTGACTGCGGGCTGGAGACCCGTGCAGCCCCGCCGCTACCCAGACCACGCCCCGCCCACCGCGGAGAGAGCGACCAATGAGCACGAACCTTAGCCGTGATTGAGGGCTGCCATGTGGCTTTCATGGATATGCATAGTGTTTATGTAATTTATACTTTATACAGGCTTATTTTATTGTGTGTACTGCTTAATCTTTCTAGTGTGTATTTAACTATGCTGCATTAAGCTACTGGCTAATCTATCTATCTATCTATCTATCTATCTACCAAAGCACATGACACTGTATACAGTACTGTGCAAAAGTCTTATGCACCTAAACAAATTTAAACAAAATTTAAAACCAATATTTGTCCTTGTTTTTAAAAAAGTAGCTGATATCTTGTGAGCTAGTTAGAAGAATAAAGTTTTGTTCCCCTTGATGCTTCTAGCCATCACGCCTGATTGACCTGATTGCACTGTTGGAAACCAGGTATTGGATTAAAACTACAAATAATACTGGGCTTCCTTGAGGAGAGGTTTAGAAGGAATACACTGACATTCATAAAATGACTACTTTTTGTATTAATGTTGTTCTTGTTATTAGTGGGTTTTGTTTTAGCATAATTAAATAGCTAAATAGCTTAATGTTTATATATATATATATATATATATATATATATATATATATATATATACACACACACACACACACACACATATTGCTGTTGTCGGAAGAAAACAACGAAAATGACCCAAAACGACTTGGAAAAAAGTCTGGCTCCACTGACTTACATTCAAAGTAAAGTAATTTTTTTCTTTTCCTGTAAAGTTACCATTTTGGAGATACGAAGTTTTCCTCCGACAACAGCAATATATATATGTATATATATATATAGTGTTGCTGTTGCACAAACTTGTTTCTCTGTTTTCCTTTTTTTATAAAAGTTGATCATTTCAAAAGTCTAGTTACCCTTTGCCTTGTCTTATAAGATTTCATGATGAACAGACCAAAAAAAATCAAATCCATTACAAGTTGTATATATATATATATATATATATATATATATATATATATATATACACACACTCTCACACACACATATATATATATATATATATATATATATATATATATATATATATATATATATATATATATATGTATATGACCAGCCAGACTTTAATCTTTGTCTTGTAATATGATAGCAGTCAACACTAAAAAGAGCTTCATGTACTATGCCAGTCCTAGAAGCCCAGCTGTGACTTGTTTTCATTACACCTGAGTCATAGCTTATTATTTCCTCATTATGAAATCCTTCTCGAGTTGAATCAGGTGTGTTAGAGCAGGAAAACACAAAAGTGTACAGTGTGGGAAAACAGGAGAGCAGCTTGGAAACACCACACTGTGGTAGTATCACAATATTCATTCGCTATTGAGATGAATTACATTATATTACATCATAGTATACTTTTCTGAGCACACTGAGGATACGGTCAGTACTTAAAGAACACTGTTTCACTGGATTTAGTACAGTACAGTATGTGAAACGTTAAAAATACTTATACTGACACTTTTTTTTCTGTTCCAACTTCTAAGACATATCACTAAATAAATATCATTATGCATATTGCGTTTCTTGAAAACGTCTTGAAGCACTGTGATGTTCTATTTTGCCCCTCCTCTATCTGGCAAGCGGTTTTATCTCTTTCTTGCCCCAAGCTTTACTTAATTATATGAGCTCTGTTCTGACTGGTTAAATTGTCTGACTAGTCTGAGTAGAAAAGTAGTCACACGCAATTTCGTCCATAACTAATAAAAGCTGTATTTTTCCAGCAAAGACTGAGTTAGATGTCTTGGATCCAACAACCTGGCTCTCCTACCTGACAAGAGTTGTTACTGAGCTCTAATATACGGTTCTAACATGTTGACTGTAATGAATACAATCCCATATTAAGGCATCGCTGTGCAATGATAATACGCAATCACCACTTCGTGCAGACACAAACAGGCCGTACGCTTAGATCACGCTGTGACATCAATTCCAGCGCTCATAATCAGCAGCCCTGGCCTAATTATTTTCACATTAGGCAGAGCCTGCCGGGTGGGGTGGGGTTCCCTCTGCTTGAAAACAGGAGCCAATATGAAGGCAAGCCTCAGTTTTCTAATGAGCGTAACCCCAGTGTTCACATACAAACAGCATTCTGTACTGTGTATTTCTCTTCTGTGCCAGTGGAAGCAGTGTCCACCCTGTGGCATGTGGCTGAGCCTGCTGCTGCCGGCCAACATAACTGGGAGTGAACCCAAGCACTTCAGGGTCCTACTGCCCTCCTCGTTTCTCACTGAGGACCTGAACAGAGCATCATTGACAAGGATACAGTCACTGAGGACACCAACAGGATGAATGGGCTCCGTCTGACAGTGGCCCAAACATTACACTTCTTCACCCGCAGCCCAAAATACACAAATAATTGCATTTTAAGATTTTAAAAGTTCCAACATTGGATTTTTTTGAAAAAGGTATGGGCTATAAGGGGCAGATCATCACTGTCCAAAGACAAAACAAGGCAACTTTATAGGAAAAGGCTAAAAAACAAACCAACTTTTCATGTAAATGAATGTAAAGTGGTTTCATTCCAAGTGATTTTGAAGCATTTCTATTGGACAAGCATCTCTTTTATCATCAGCCTGTATCTATCTGATATGGTTCTTCAAGGGTTCTTCAGCGAAGAGAAGTTCTATGAGTCCTATGCAGAACCATGTCAATGCTTAGATAGCTCTTTGTATGGTGAGATGCTTCTTCAGATTGATGCAGAATGTGTTGCATATGGTTCAACACACAGAACCTTCTTGAAAATTGTTCTATATAGCACATCAAGCTGGTAACAATAAACCCTTTCTGGTGCTAGATAGAACCATTGTCAAAAAGATACTATATAGAACCATATATAACAAATTCTTCATCGATATGAAGAACCGTTTCACCACGCAAAGAGCCATTTAATTTTGCAAATGGTTCTTTGGGTGTTTATGGTTCTTTATATAGAAGAACCCTTTTTGGTGCTATACAGAACCATTTTCAAAAAGGTTCTATACAGAACTGCATACACAAGACATCCTCCATCAATCTGAAGAACTGTTTCACCACGTAAAGAACCATTTAGGCATGGGCTTGGTTCTATGTAGAAGTCAAGGTTCTAAACAGATCCATTCCATTTACTGAAGAACGCTGTAAGAGTGCACAGCAGGCTGAGGCTTATGTATAACCAGCTAACAGGTACAGCTTTAGCACAGCACCTATGACACAGCAGCTTTGATGAAGAAGAGGAGGAGGATGACGACGATGAGCATCACCATCATCATCACCATCTTCATCACTATCATCACCATCTTCATCACCATCTTCATCACTATCATCACCATCATCATCACCATCTTCATCACGGCCTTGCCGTCTTTAACGAGACAAGCGACAGGCTAAAGCTGTGCACTGGACCGCACGTGACAGCTGTTTTTCTCTATTGTTGCCGACTGCATTGTGGCGTCACAATGCCTCCAACGTTCCATCGCTACACCGTCGCGTTCTAAAGCGCACGTGACGCGTATTCGAGCGCCTATAATTAAGCCTATAATAAACAGCCCCAGCAGCGGATCATAAAGCAGCCGCTTTGTCATTGAATTAGAGCTGGTTTGTCGTGCAGGCTCGGGCCTGCTGCACCCAGCGCAGCTCGGGCTGTGAAAACATGTAAAGCAGAACCAGCAGCTGCAGCTTACCGGCTATCCGGAGCACTGCCCTCTCGGCCGGGTCCAGCACGGACCCTCCCTGGATCTTGCGCTTGGACCGCTCGTGTCTGGGTAAATTCCAGGGCAGCGTGTCCCCGGGCGCGGGCGACACGGAGCCGGACTTCAGGCTGGAGTCGTCGTCGTCCGAGAAATCCGCCGAGGAGGACATGGAGCAGCGCAGGGACGCGGAGCCGGAGCTCTGTGAGGGGAAACAAAAGAGAAAGGTTGCCTAGGCTGTGAATCACCCTCAGCGCGAGCCCAGCGCGGCCGCAAACACGAAAAAACAACAACAGACGAGCGACAGACGACTGTCTCGTTTTGCTCTCACCGTCATTATTTTTCTTTAGCACAAAAAGAGGCGAATGAGCTTCAGCTCCGCATCTGCTGGGTGTCAGAGCTCACTCTCTCACTCTCTCTCTCTCTCTCTCAGCTGTCTCTCCCTCTCACTGAGCCCAGCAGAGCGAAAGCCGCGCGAGGCTGGCCGAGAGGGGGAGAAAAACCATAGGCAGTGCGAGTGGCTCCCCCGACAGGACAGGCTAAAGACTTACCGCCGCGTACATCTCCGCCGGAAACACCGAGAGCCTGGCACCGCTCGCCATTTACAGCGTTTCCCCGACGCAGCCACGCCCTTCTGCTGCCAGCCGGTCCACTCAGCCCCGCACTTGTAGCTTCCGCACCGATCCCCCCACCCACACCACACCACCCAATGTGATGCCGAATCCCCCAGAGAGGCGGCAGCAGGTTGGGGAGGGGAGCGCGGAGCGTGTCCGTCTGTCGGACGGAGAGAGAGGCGGGCTCGGTGGTTGGTGGAGGCTGCGCGGCTCAGACAGTCGCGAGCCTACAGCGCCATCTCCTTGAGCCGCGCGGAGCTGCTCCCGAACAGGCAGGTGTTTCACGCGCACTCGGGTTCGTCCGAGGTCGTATTAGAAAACAGTCTCCGAAAAATAGAAAACTACGGAGCCCCGCTGGAGACATCCTGTTTAAACGAAAATACTGCGTGGCCACGGCTTCGTAAGGTGTGGCAATGAGATAATTAAGCCTTGACCACAGCTTAATAAGGCATCTTATTAATCTTGGTATGGCGCGGGAACAAGTTGTGACCACGACTTAACTATCTCATTCCCTCGCCTTACTAAGTAGTGGCCACACATTAGGATCTCATTCCTACGCTGTGATTACAGCGTGGTCACGCGTTACTGTTATTTATATGGGAAGTCACCAGCGAGGCTCCATACAAACTAGAGCCCTGCTTGTTATTAATAAAACAATGTGTGGCCACAAATTACTAAGGTGTGCAAACATGATTCTAATGCGAGGCCATAGCTTATTAAGGCTTGGGGAAAATTATTTCATTCCCACGCCTTACTAAGTCATAGCCACGACTTAATTATTTCATTCCCACCACTTAGTTGTCTTGTTTCCGTGCGTTACTGAGCCATGGCTATGACTTGACTATGACAATCACAACTTTATGATCTCATTCCCACCACTTTAATATCTTTTTCCCTCACACCTTATTAAATAATGGCCATAACTTAATTATCTCATTCCCACCACTTAATTGTCTCATTTCTGCATGTTACTAACCCATGGCTATGACTTAACAATCACAACTTTATTATCTCATTCCCACCACTTTAATATCTTTTTCCCTCACACCTTATTAAATAGTGGCCACAACTTAATTATCTCATTCCCACCACTTAATTGTCTCATTTCTGCATGTTACTAACCCATGGCTATGACTTAACAATCACAACTTTATTATCTCATTCCCACCACTTTACTATATTTTCTTCCACACCTTATTAAATAGTGGCCACAACTTAATTATCTTGTTCCCACCACTTAGCTGTCCCATTTCCACAACTTAACTTTAACAACTTATTATTTTGTTCCTACTTCTTAAGTATCTCATTTCCACCCCTTATGTAGTTGCGGCCACAACTTATCTATTACAACTTAATTATCTTGTTAATTATCTCATTTCCATGCCTTCCAAGTCATGTCAATACATTAGGATCCTGTTCCCACACCTTAGTAAGTTGTGGCCATGCATTATTTTTGTTAAGAAGGGGTGTCACTAGTGGGGCTTGGTACTAACCACATTGTCTTCACTATTTTAAAATAAGACTTAGTTTAGATTCACTACCCAGTCTATACGGTCCACACATGGAAATTAAACTGCAAACAGCCCATTCTGAATTGTTTTTGTGATGTAATGAAAACTAATACACTGACATATCCTGCCCGTTAAGCCTACAGCAGTTTAGCCCCGCCCTTTCACACTGAAGTTATATGGAGTGTTTCAGCAGTCAGTCTCAGTGACCAGGGGTCGGCAACATTTACTGTCCTGTTACAGCTCCACAGCAGAATTAGATTTGTAGGTAAAAATAAAATAATCCTCCTTTACAGTAAAATAAAGCTCTGCTTTTAACAATAAATAGTCTTAAATGCTGGAGTTAATGTAGAACTGCTAATTCACCCTTGAACCCTGAAGGTTGGCGCAGACTGCTGGTCACCATAGCAACACAGACAGTAGTCTCGCCCAGCTAGTAGCTAATGAAAAGGCAAAGAGAGAGATTTAAGATGAACATCGATAATTTGGAGACGAATGGACTTATTTGCATTTATAATCACTCCAGCTGGTTTCCTGATACGTTTAATCTGCAACGAGAAACTGACAAACACTACAAAGTCATGAAGCCGAAGTCAGCTGAGTTCAGCCTCGTAAAAAATCGAATGTTGAGAGACATTTTACAAGAAACTGTTCCACATTTGAAGAAAAGTTTCCTGCCGGAGATGCAAGAAAAGCGGCTACAGCTGAGCTAAAGCTTACAGCAGAGCAAAGTGAGTCTGTGTTTTTGTTTATATTTTTCAGTCTATACTAGGACATCAGCACATACCGAGACATATTTTCAGCCAAGATGGCAAAACGTTACTTTAATAAAATGGACATAAGATGTTGTGGCTCCCAAAGTGGTTAGATTTTTTGTTGAAAGGACAAAATGGCTCTTCTTAACATTTGGGTTGCTGACCCCTGACCAGCCTAACACACTTCATAATGCAAAATCTTCTGAGAAGTTTGAACACAACATATACAAATTTTGTGAATGATTGCTTTGCTGGGTTATGTTTGGTGTATAATTCTAATATGTTACCTTTCTTTTTCTTTTGCTGGCTGTGCAGCCTTTAGTTTGCTAACTAGCAAGTAATGAAGTTGAATCAGCAGCCATGTATATGTGATGGGGTAGTTACTGCCTAAATCCCAGCAAATTAGCAAATCAAATGTCATTGTTTTGGAAATTACAAGCAAAAGTAGTTCACAGTCAGGGGAGTACAGCTTTGTCCATGTTTGAAAAGGGAAATGTGTCAGTTTGCAGTGATTTCTGGGCAAGTTCTGCTGCTGAAGTCGACACTTGTGTCCAGTCTGTCCCTCGCTCCTCCGAGAGCTCATCTAATACACTTCATTTGACTTAATAATGAAACAGCTCTTAAGATGGCTTCCAAAGTGGTCTCTCACAACTTATATTTCAACCTTAAAAGTATGTACTCAGAAATTCAAAGTGGACTTAATCTACTCCCATAGATCCAGTGGTGTGCACAGTGAGGCTTTGGTCAACTTAAGAACAGAACATCTTATATTAATAACAGAACATACACCAATCAGGCACAACATTATGACCACCTCCTTGTTTCTACACTCATTATCCATTTTATCAGCTCCACTTACTATATAGGGGCACTTTGTAGTTCTACAATTACAGACTGTTTGGGTGGTGGGCCATTCTCAGCACTGCAGTAACACTGACGTGGTGGTGGTGTGTTAGTGTGTGTTGCGCTGGTCAGAGTGGATCAGACACAGCAGTGCTGCCAGAGTTTTTAAACACCTCAATGTTACTGCTGGACTGAGAATAGTCCACCAACCAAAAACATCCAGCCAACAGTGTCCTGTGGGCAGCATCCTGTGACCACTGATGAAGGACTAGAGGATGACCAACACAAACTGTGCAGCAGCAGATGAGCCATCGTCTCTGACTTTACATCTACAAGCTGGACCGACAAGGTAGGAGTGTCTAATAGAGTGGACAGTGAGTGGACACAGTGTTTAAAAACTCCAGCAGCACTGCTGTGTCTGATCCACTCGTACCAGCACAACACGCATTAACACACCACCACCACGTCAGTGTTACTGCAGTGCTGAGAATGATCCACCACCCAAATAGTACCTGCTCTGTGAGGGTCCATGGGGGTCCTGACCACTGAAGAACAGGGTAAAAGGGGGCTAACAAAGTATGCAGAGAAACAGATGGACTACAGTCTGTAACTGTAGAACTACAAAGTGCACCTATATAGTAAGTGGAGCTGATAAAATGGACAGTGAGTGTAGAAACAAGGAGGTGGTCAGAATGTTATGCCGGTGTACATGATTATTATACTGATGTTGTGGTTAAATATACGTTTTTCTCATGAATGCATTTGTATATGTTTTTGCATTAATACACATTATCACATGAGATATATGAAAACACAAGATGCTCCTGTAGGTTTAGGAGTCTTACAGCTGAGCTTCTGAAGTCTGTCTGAAGGTTCCACACTCACCTGAATGCTGTACTAAGTAAGCAGAATAGTGTGAATTACTGCTGCAAATAAGTATGTAGTACTCGATTCCTCCTGGATTTAAAAGCAGAGTCAGCATTAAAATCAAAATCTCTGGAAATTAAAAGCTAAATAAAGTGAAAACATTGTACACAGTTAGATTTCAACACATCAAAACAGTAAATACTGTGCTGAATTACAAGATTGATCTCAGAGTAGTTTGATGTGAAACTAGCCATTCTTAACTTATTGTTTCAGAATTGTTTACAACAGTATTGGCAGGAACCAGACGTCTGAAGAGTTTAATGCCTCTAAAATCTCCCTCACAGGCAGTTATTACATGAAATGGTTATGAATATGTTGCCTGATGTGTGAGACACTGTTTTACGATAGTTTTCAGATAAGAATTTGGCCAAAATCATATTTTTTAAGCACATTCATGGCAGACAGAGTGTTTTTTATTAAGTATTTTTTATATTCACTATTTTACCATCATCGGTTATAAACATTTTAGGACTCACTGGTGGTTTTGGATAGTAAATAAAATGTCTATATTTGTGTTGTAGTCATGGCGACCCCTGGTTCCTATCACCACCACTG